TAGTGTCTAGAAGAGGACATTTTTCTGTGTATTCATCTGTCTATTTAGTAGAAGTAGGAATTTTCAAGTTAATTTTGTTGGGGGGTGGTACCTGGGATTATGCTTGGAAGGCAGGTGTGGCGCCACCGAACTAAATCCTGGCCTTCAAGTTAATATTTAAAAGATAACTGTTGGGCTGGGGATTTAGCTCAGTGGTTTCAGTGCCTGCCTCGCAAGCGCAAGGTCCTGAGTTTGATCCTCGGTACCAAAAAAAAAAAAAAAGATAACTGTAGAAGCCAGGCGCAATGGCATACATCTGTAATCTTATCAGTAGAGATAATTTTGTGATGCCCTGTTTCAAAATTTTAAAAAAAGGTTGGGAATATAGCTCAGGGGTAAAGTGTCCTTAGATTCAATCCCTAGTAGTAGGGAAAATAAAAAAATAAATAACTGTAGAAGAATGAAAAGAGATTAAGAAAAGAAAAATTCAGGAGTCAGTCTGAGGTTATATTTCAATAGAACATGTTCAGTAGCATGTACAAGAACCTGGGTTCAATCCCCAGCACTAAGATAGAAAGAAAGGACAGAAGGACAGACAGACACAAAGGAAGGTAGTTCAGAAAAGGAACTGTAAATGGCAAATATAATATGAAAAGACATGTGCCTTTAGTAATCAGGAATATGTAGCCAGCATGGTGGCACGTGCCTATGATCCCAGCACTCAGGCTAAGGCAAGAGGATGGCCGTGAGTTTGAGGCCAGTTTGGGCTACATAGTGAGTTCAAGGCCAGCCTGGGCTGCATAACAAGATCCTGCCTCAAAAACAACAACAGAGGCTGGGGATTTAGCTCAGTGGTTCCACTGCCTGACTCGCAAGCGCAAGGACCCGAGTTTGATCCCCAGTACCAAAAAAACAACAACAATAGAGGCCAGGCATGGTTGGTGGCACATGCTCGTAATCCCAGCACTTGGGAGGCTGTGGCAGGAATATTCCTTCAAGTTTGAGGCCAGACTAGACTACATGAGTTCAAGTCCACCCTGAAGGGCATAGTGAGACCCCGTCTCCAAAAATAAAATAATCAGGAATTTTTACATTTTCTAAATCACCATGTTATAGCCATCAGTTTAGCAAATTTGAAGATTGTTAGTATCCTATGGGAGTGACTTTATAGGAAAAGTTTATCTTTGTTGATAGCAATAAAAAATTAGAAAATGCTGGTTTTCCAGGTGTATATTCAGCTTGTGAAAATTCATTAAGCCATGTGCTTGCTTATGGATAGTGTACTCCGTAATTATCAGTTGGGGAGCTTGTGAGCAGTGTGCTCCCCAGGACTCCACTCCAGAAGCTTTGATAGAGGAAGTCTGAAATGAGGTCCATGTGCAATTTTTTAAAAATAAAGGACAGTTTATTACTTGTATCCATTACTTATTGATACATTTTATGTGTAACTCATGACAGTTCCTCTTCAATCACTGCAGATGAGCCAAAAGGTTGAAATCCAGGTGTTAGACCCACTCTTTCAGTCCCTTCAGTGTGCCCAGCGTGCTGTGTCCTTAGGGCCTTTGCACATGCTGTACTTTCTGCCAGAAATGACTCCCCTTGGCTCTTGCCCTACTCATTCTGTGCCTCCTGAGTTCCTCTTAAGTCATCTGTCCCCATTTTAGGTTCAGTCTTCACACTGCCTGTGGCATAAAGGCCATATACTCTGCATGTCTGTTTGGTTCCCCTCTAATGTCTGTCCTTTTGCTATCTCTTGTATCCATCCCTGTGCCTTCCCTGATGCTACAAGGTAAGGCCAGTGCATGTGGAATCTTTGTTGTCTCCACTCATGCTGCGTGCCCAGTGTCTAGGCCCAGTCTGTCCCTGGTGCACTCACTGGAGAGCTGGAGGGGTGAACTGCGTGCCCGTCTCCTGTCGCGAGCCCTAGAGGGGAAGTTGCTTAGGGAGAAGGGGCAGTGTGCGTCTGTCCATGAGGATGCAAAGGCCTGGTGCCTGGCAGTCCTTCTTCACATTCAGTCATAGGTCCTGAAGCAAGCAGAAAACCAGAGCCGCACTGGGCACTGCTGTCCTTGCTGTCCTCCCTTGGCTGTGTGGGGCTTCTAGCTTGCTCTGGCCGGCTGGGCTGCAGGTGTTCATACTCCTGCCCTTGTTTTCTGTAATACCACTGCACCACAGGCTTCTTTTTACTTAACCAGTTCACAGATACTTCTTTAGGACAGAGGCTAAGCTGGTCATGTGTTCATTGAGGGCACCCTCAGACTCCTTATGGATCAAGCAAGTGAACTGGTACTGCTCCACATCGGAGGCATCAATCCCTTGCGGCTCCACATCACTAGCTACTCCCACATAATAGCCCTCTATGTCCCCAGGATCCTTATCCTCTTCCTCCTCACAGTTTGGGTCATAGTCCTCTTCATTGCTGTCAGACCCCTGGCTATTCATGTCCACGAACATCTTTGCATCCAGACAAGTTGCAAATCAGGAAAGTGGTTGCTTTTTTCCCCCTCAAACTTCACCGCTTTCTCAAATGCATTAATGTTTTTGTATTCTGTGATTTTAGAAAGATCTTTCAGTTATACATCACCCAAATATTCTGTGTCATGATTTTCATTGGGAACTGCAACTCCGTAGCTGCAGAGCCCTGGCAGGCCAGAGCAGGTCAAGCTTGGCCAGTGAGGTCTGACTGGGACACGGCGACAGTAGAGGTGGCAGGCTGACACTGGTCAGGCCCATGCTGCTTCCTCCCGTGTGCAAGATTTTGACCAAGCACTCTTCCAGGTGATTATGATGCAAGGGCTTCTGGCGCATTTTAAGAAACTTACTTTAGCTTTTGAGGTTGGCAGGAAACACAAGCTGACAGCCCAGACTCTGGCCTGATATTAAGAATAATAGCTTTGGTTCTTGATCCTCCCTTTTCCAGATTGCAGGATACCTGTATGGGGTGAGCCCGCCAGATAACCCCCAGGTGAAGGAGATCCGCTGCATTGTGATGGTGCCACAGTGGGGCACTCACCAGACCGTTCATCTGCCTGGCCAGCTGCCTCAGCATGAGTACCTCAAGGTGCGAGAATAATGGAGCATAGGAGTGTGGGACCTGGAGAATAGGCTTCTGGCCATCAGAGAGGTGCTGGGAGGACGGGCATCTTACTCTATCTGGATATGGGATTCTGAAGGTAGTTCTTACTGCTCTTTGCCTGTAGGAGATGGAGCCCTTAGGTTGGATCCACACTCAGCCCAATGAGTCTCCCCAGCTGTCCCCACAAGATGTTACAACCCATGCCAAGATCATGGCTGACAACCCAAGTTGGGATGGTGAGAAGACCATTATCATCACTTGCAGGTTGGTTTGGGCTCCTTGGTAGGAAATACAGTTGGGCAGGCACTGCAGGCTGGGAATGGGAATGGGGGCCTGAGCTCTCATCCTGTCCTCCTGTTTCCCCCAGCTTCACCCCAGGCTCCTGCACGCTGACAGCCTACAAGCTGACCCCCAGTGGCTATGAATGGGGCCGCCAGAACACAGACAAAGGCAACAACCCCAAGGGTTACCTCCCCTCGCATTATGAGAGGGTCCAGATGCTGCTGTCAGACCGCTTCCTCGGCTTCTTCATGGTCCCTGCTCAGTCCTCGTGGAACTACAACTTCATGGGTAAGTGGGCTCTGGGGGGAAGGGCACAGTATAGAAGTGGGGATGAGGTAGGGGTAAGGTGAGCCATCACCCTTAGCACTTGGGAACTGATCCCTTGGAAAAGATCTAGAGGCCCAGGTTGGGTGTGGCAGGTGGACACTTGTTAGTTAACATTTGATCTTTCTTTCTCCTCTAAGGTGTCCGGCATGATCCCAACATGAAGTATGAGCTGCAGCTGGCAAACCCCAAAGAGTTCTACCATGAAGTTCACAGACCCTCCCACTTCCTCAACTTTGCTCTCCTGCAGGAAGGCGAGGTCTATTCTGCAGACCGGGAGGACCTCTATGCCTAGTTGTTCACTCCTCCTGTTGAGACCCCCCGCAAAGGGTGGAGCCCATTTCTCTCACAGACAAGTTGGTGACATTCAGCAGCTTGGTCCCTTCCCCCTCTTGTGCTTGTGTTGATGGCTTGTAATCCTGAACAAAATATTACAATAAATTTTGTATAAATAGGAGTTCGAGGTGATGGCCTAAATTCCGAATGTGGATGAGACTGGGAGCCGGGAGAGAGCAGTTGTTGACAGCAGGGTACTGATCTCAGCCCTGAGAGGTTACAAGGTGAAAGGGAACAGCGACACTCAACAACTAAGGCCATGCACACCGAGAGGTCCAACAGGAGACTTTATTCAGGCTGGGAAGGGCAAGTCAGGGAGAGAGAGGAGAGAGCAGAGAAAGGAAGGTGCTTTTATTGGTTTTGGATGGGGCTATGGCTTATTTATGAGGAGTGGGCTACTTTTAACCTATCAGGCGGGTTGCCTTTTATGGGTTCAGTCTTGCAGAAACTTAGGTTTAACTTTTCTGTCTTGCTGTGTCCTTGGTGGGAGGGAAACTAAAGCTAAGAGCATGAAGTCATTCTAAGAGACATGAAGAACCAGGAAAATGCAGTCTGATGGCGGTGTCACAAAATACTTTAACATGATCAATTCCCTAACACAAGGCCACCCTGACTCAGGCCTTTGGGGCCAGACCTCTCCCTGACTGATACGAGGTGGGGGTTGGCTTTCACACTACCTCCTTGACTACATTTGCTAGTTTCTCTGCAAAATGCCGCTTCTCAGTATCACTTTGAGGCTGACGCTTGTGCTAGGAACTCCGTGGTTTGTGGTATAGCTGTGAAGCCCGCTTAGCTCCTTTATAAGATTTCTGTCACTCCTGGTGGGCAGAGGGCTGTGGGGTGAAGGTCACGCCCTGTTGCTGAATCTCATCTCAAACTGAACTGCCCCGTGGCCGAGTCCTGACCGGGGGTGGAGCCTGGACCTGTGGCTGTGGGGAGGGCTTGCCTAAAGTGACCACTTACGGCCCTGGGCCTCAGCTCGTGGACGCCTGCCTGGGAGCTGGCTGTCCGGTTTCCTGTGACCTTGGGGTTTGAACGGGACAGCCCCGAGGGACTAGGGCACTGTCCCCATTCCCAGCGCCTTCTCACTTAGTCACTCCTCCTTTGTCGCTAATACCCCGCCCCTTAGAAGCCTAACTCTCTAGGGCCAGAGTCGTTTGGCTTTTTCCTGCCCCAGTTGAGGGTAGGGGTGTCCTTGGCCTTTGGGGAAAATGGAACCCAGAAGGACGGCGTCTGGGCCACCCGGCTGGGGGCCTCGAGAGCCCGCAGGGTCGGGGTCGGCCGCAGAGCTCGTGTACCATCTAGCGGGGGCCCTGGGCGCGGAGCTGCAA